TTAAATAAACCGGATTGGAACCGAACCGGACCGGAACGGAAGCGGAATGAACCGGTACGAAATCACGGTTCCATTTCGTTCCTTGTACCGATTCAGACTATCCCGTCCCGTCCCGTAGGCAACCGAACCGGAACGAACCGGAACAGTACTGAAACGGTACCGGTACGTCCCATTCCGTTGACCAGTCTTAACCTCAAATATGACTATATCAGCTATTAGTTATCTTTTTTTCTGTTTAGAAACTATTATTATCAATCCAACTAGACGTGTTTGAATATTAAAAAAATATTTAAAGTGTGAAACTCATTAAAAAAATTACGTAATTTTTTACTATCATCACCATAAATAATGAATTGCGTATAGGATGAACACAAGAGACCGATACATATATTTATAAGTTGTAACCTAGGTAGTTTTCCAATATATGGAAAACTTATAAGGTTACATATTTATTTTTCTTACACAAACATAGAAATACGATAAGAATATTTCACCAGTAATAATGCGCTTGTGTTATACACATTGAGAAAATAAATTCCCAAATGTAACACAATTTGAACAAATAAAACCTTCTTGACAATCGCTACGGTCATTGCAACGTTTGCCACAAGTACTAGTATCAAATAATTTCCCTTTCATCTCTACGACAGTAACAGGTAAATTTCGTAATGCCATCGCTTGCATCTTATTCGAACTCCAATAGAGATTAACTATACATAGTAAATATAACAAAGATTAGTCTAATAATATAAATATCAATGTCTAAATATTTAATAAAACACAAAGTTTTTAACCTGAAATTGCAACAAAGAGAGCAATAAAGAGAAATGCTTGCTTAAATAAAGCCATCTTAATTAATTTGTAAAAATATATATATAAGAAGACCACTATTTATAGGCCTAAATTAGCCAGTATTGAGATTTGTGAAAGAAAATGACAAAATGGTCACTTAAATATATTTTTGAACGGATTTGTCCTTTATGTTTGCAAAAGAGAGCATATTTAGTCTATGTCAAATATTTAATAATTTTCTTTATCAAATTATGTGAAAAGAGTGAATTAAAAAGAATAAGAATTTAACTATGAAGGGCGTTTCAGATATGATTTTTTTTATGATCTATTTATAAATAGGATTAGTGGTGAATTTTTGTTGTTTAGCTGCCTAATTTTTCATCGTCAATTCTTATTATTCTTTTTTTTACTCAACTCAAATTAAGAGATATAGGTTTTTACCGTTAATCTAAAATAACTAATAACTTTTTATATTATATAGTTAACTTAAATTGATAATACAATAGCAATGTATATAGTTAGAATTTTTTGTTAGAAATATTTTTAAATATACCATATCATATAAAATTGTTCACTTTAATGTCATCTGTTACACTTTTGATCCATCCAAACACGTGTTATATCGAATCATTTAGTATTTTCTTAATTTATCAATATCAGAGTTTCAACACGAAACGAATGGACTCCATGTGTCCAAAATGTTTAATCCATATTTTACCTTTTTTGTAATTGTATCACCACTAATACTCAAAGCAATGTTAGTTCTTTCTTCAATAAGTCATAATTGTTAGGAGTAGTTTTCTTTGAAAAAGACATCTTTCTTGAGTTTTTTTTTAAATACGGGAAACATTCACTTATGGTCACTTAAAATAGTCTAATTACTTTTTATAATTATAAATTAATAATTATAATTCGTAATTACATGTTATATGAAGGAGAGAGGCAAGCGAGTTTGGAAGAGAGATTAGAGAGGCGAGAGAGAGGAGAAAGAGTGAAAGAAAGGTGAATTATATATGTATATAATTGTATATTATACATATACGTTTGTATATAGGGCAATCGAGATTGGGAGAGGGAGGAGAGGCGAGAGCGAGAGGGCAGAGAGTGCGAGAGAGGTAAATTGTATATGTATATATGTTAAATAATTGTATATTATACATATGTATTTGTATATTCTGGCGAATTATACATATACAAACGTGACTAATTATACAAACTCGAAGTCAACCCACGTAATTAATGTATAATGTTAGTCACTAGTGGTAATTATATCAAACTATAGCTATAATGAGTAATTAAATAGTATAAGTTTGCTTTGTTGGTTTATTTTCCCATAAACGTCTATGTACAAGATATGTAGAATTATCAAAAAAGAAATAAAATTTAACCTATGAATGTGGATAAAAAAATATCTTATTTTTATTGGATTAAAATTATCTTTAACATTTTATTTTTATTTTAAGATGTACCTAAAATTAACCTTTGACTAGAGAGGATTTGTGTTAAAAATGTCCCCAATGAGTTACGGCCAATTATTTTGAGTATAAATACAGCGCAATTGTAATTAGCTAATATTAAATGTGCATTTTATTAAAATTATTTATTTCATATTACTTAATTACTTATTAAATTAGGATAACATGAATTATTTCTTTTCGATTTGCCCTGTAATTAATATGGCTTTGAAAGTTCAAGTAAATTTTGAAGATTCATACTTTTAGATAATATTAATAAATTACTAATTTAGAATTTAATTTCTTGACGGGGAGATTTTGTATTTATTCAATGTTATTATGGCGTGCGAAAATAAGACATGGTGTTTCATCTAATGAAAAAGGTTTATAGGGTAAATTTAATTAAGAAAAAAGTTTGACAAATATCAAAGAGATAATATTTAATAAGTCTTCTTAATTACAATTTGTCTATTACACATTATATATAGAGTTTTGTTTGTTATGAATATTTTTATTTGTATATTTCACTTACGAATATACATCGGATAAATATATACAATTTCTGTAGTTAATAATTTAAAAGAATTTCAGAATTCTGTTTATATATTTTACTCGCCAAACAGAGTAATTTATCATATTTTTTTTATAGCTTATACAAATCAAATGTATCAATAAATCATATACAATTAACTAGGGTAAGTAGTATATACAAATTTTAAATTTTTTGCTTGCGTATTAATAAATTCCATCAAGATAAAAGAGGCACACCGGCAAGAAGGTCAACCACATGGGGGGACGTTTTTGTAAGCAATACCCCGAAAACTCCGATAAAAGAAATTAAATATCAGATTAGTTCACTTATTTCAAACGTTTTACGTTATTTTTTAAAGCGCTTTCTATAAGCCTTTAATTTAAGAATTAAAGAACTGAATTATACGAATTCATAACAAAATTTAAAAAAATATAACTACAAATCATAAATATCCAATACTGTAGCTAAATTAAATAATACTCTATAAATATTTTTCATTATGCGTAATTTTTCCTTTTTTGGGATTAATGTACTTAAACAAATAAAAAAGACTTAGATTGACTTTTCGTCATGCTTTTTTTTTTCAGTCCAATATAACGTGACTTAAAAGGAAAAAAAAACATAAGTATTTCTAAGTTATATTTAAACCCCGAAGTATAAAAGATGTATTAATTTTTACGAGGGTTTTATTACCTTTTTTACGAATACTTTAAAATGAAATAGTTATCACTTATGTTCTGATGTGATATAGATTTCTTTTTATTCAATTTGATGTTTGATATTTATGTTGGAGTCTGATTAAATTTAAATTTGCATCAAAAAGTTTCATATTATAATATAAAATAATTTCTAACAAAGACAATTTCATATTTAGATAGACTCAAACCCGAAATCTCTGGCTAAAAATGAAAGAATACTTATCACCCTATTATAATAATTCGTTGATGACATAAAAAAATAGATTTGTGGTAGATAGTAAAATACGCACTGCGACATGTAATTTTTTTTTAGAAAATCTAGTTTTGTTTTTCCTTTTTGTTTTCTTATTTATTATATAAGTATCAATTTTTTAGCTGATTGGTGTAAATTTTGGTGTGTTTTTGTTGTAATCGGACGAAGAGCTATTGGAACCAAGTATTAATTGTTTCATTACTTTTTTCGTACCTAAACTATATATCACAATATATAGATATACTAAAGAATACCATGAAACTAACTAGGTCATTTGTATATCAATTGTTCCATTTGCTTATATGAACTATAGGTTAGATGAAAAAAAAAATTGATAATTGAAATGTAAAACTTGCGAAAATGTAATAAATCAGATGTATTATTTTGACTTTTATCTCATTAAATATTGAATTACATATACATATATTTAAGTTTCTCGATATATGAAAAACATATTATAAGGGTTACATATTTATTTTATCACGCAAACTTCGTAAACACAACATTATTCAAAATGCTTGAATAAACACGAAGACATAATAAGCAATTAATAGTTCATTCATTGGACACAATAATATTTTATGCTTCAAAAGGATATTTCACCAGTAAAAATGTGCTTATATTATACGCAATGAGAAACCGCAGATCCAATTTTAAGACAAGTTGAACAAAAAAAACCTTCTTTGCAATCACTACGACCTTTGCAACGATGCCCACAAGTCGTAATATCATCAATTTGAAATAATTTTCCTTTTATCTCTTCAAAATCACCAGGTAAGTCTCGTAATGCCATCACTTGCATCTTACTTGGATCCCAAGAGAGATAAACTGTTGCACATTGTAAACACAACAATGATTAGAGTTTATCTGAATTTCCTTCGATAGAAAATTATGCTGTTCATAAAGTGAAAAAATGAAACTTATATTTTATGTATATATAGTAGATGTTGAATTCCTTTTGACATTTTCATGTATTTACTTATTTATAACTTGGACTCGTTAATAAAAATTTCTACATATACAGTAGATGTTGAATTCCTTTTGACATTTTCATGTATTTACTTCTTTATAACTTGGACTCGTTAATAAAAATTTTGACAGATTTAGTAGATGCTGAATTTCTTTTGACGTTTTCATGTATTTACTTCTTTATAACTTGGACTTGTTAGTAAAAATTTCGGCATATATAGTAGATGCTGAATTCCTTTTGACATTTTCATGTATTTACTTCTTTATAACTTAGATTCGTTGATAAAAATTTCGACTCTATCACTAATTTCAGTGTTTATAACAAACAAAAATAGGAAAAGAGTTGCAAAAGTATTGAACCTGAAATTGCAACAAAGAGAGAAATGAAGAGAAAAGCTTGCTTAAATGAGGCCATCTTGATTAATTTTTAAATTATGTATAACATGTAGAAGAATTAATGTATTAATATTGTTGATTTTATTTCTTCATGGAAAGCTGTATTTATAGGCCAGTATTGAGACATGTGAGAAAATAACATAATGGTCCCTTAAATATACTTTTGAATAGTTTGGTCCTTTAAGTTTGAAAAGATGAGCACATTTGGTCTACGACATATATTTAGCAAAGTCTGATTATTAGATATTTAAAAAATTAGAATAGTAAAAAGTAATAAAGGATTAGGCATAATACTTATAAACAGGGGCGTCAAAAGTGAACCCAAACATAGATAAACCGTTCAACCCGTCCAGAATTTTAAGAGTTGGGCTCAAAATAATTTGAATTGGGTTCAATCTCAACCCATCCAAGCATAACCCATTTGAAGAGAACTCTCAATTGTGACCAATTCAATTTCCAATTTCAAACCGTCTTAAAACTTTTTATTAAGATATGTTTCTCTATTTAAAATATAAATTATTATCTATTTAGCATCTTTTTAGGGTTTATCTATCAATTTGTTACTTTTTAAAAAAAATAATTTTGAGCTAACATTCAAATTGTGATTATAAAAGTTATGTTAAATTATTGAGTTTAATCGGGTCAAATTGGACGGGTCAATACCCAACCCATTTTAAGCCCATTTGAGCCTAAAGTAAACTTGGGCGGGTCAAGACCCAACCCGACTTCTATCTCAGCCATTTTAATATTTTCAATTTCAACCCAACACACCCATTTGACACCCCTACATATAAATGTGCCTTTTAACTTGAGATTAGTTGTCATCTATTACCTTCAACTTTCAACATGCACAAGTAGGTATTTAATTTTATATAAAGTTAAATGAATAAACTCATTCGTCTTATCGGTTTCCTGCATAAAAATTTTATATTCTACATGGTGTCTTATGTGTATTTGCCACGTAGAATGTGTGTGTCCACTTGTTTAATTTTGTAATAAGTAATCTGTTCGTAAACACCCAAAGTTGGAGAATATAGATACGAACTGAAGCCAAATTAAATGACATATTTACATGTTATGTAAATTTTTCATCATCATATTGAGAGTTTTAACACGAAACAAATGAACTTTATGTGTCCAAAATGTTCGAACCATATTTTACCTTTTTTGAATTGTATCACCACAAAATGCTCAAAGTAATGTTAGTTCTTTCTTCATAACTCATAATGGTTAGGAGTAGTTCTCCATGACAATGACATCTTTCTTGAGTCTTTTTTTTTTAATGTTAAAGAACAACATATGGAAAAGTGTAAATAAAAAAAAACACTTCAACCTATTAATTTGGGTAAAAATTTCTTACTTCTACTTATTGGATTAAATATATCTTTCTTGTCCATCTTTCCATACATAAACTTTAGTATTTATTTCTATTATCATTTTGGGGTTGCATCACCATTATGTAGGGGGTTTATTTTCAATGATTTAGATGTTGTGGCTATAGGTTAAGTTTATGGGGGATCAATTTTCTATTCAACCAAATTATTTTACCTTATTTATGATGATGAGATTGGTTTCTTTTAATTGGTATTGGATTAGTTTTAGGTTAGCCTTTTGACTCTCCCAGGTTGTTTAGTGTAGTTGATCATAATAGTCTGAGTTGTAAAGTTCAAAGTTTGATAAATAAAAGATTTTTAGGTCAATTTCAACTTAGTTTTTCATTTGAAATTTCATATTTGACTTCCCTAAGTATGGATAAGATAGTTTTCAAGAAATATTTCAGATTTGATTCAAAATTTTGGACACGAGTTTTTGAGTTTTTTCTCATAACCTTGTGTTTTGAGTAAATTAGAGTTTTGAACATGATTTCAACTCATTTTGGTAAGATATCACTTGTGGGTTCCAAAATGTTTGGGTATCATGTTTTTTTTTTTTTATAACAAATCTAGATTTATCCTTAGCCTTTTGAGATTGACTTTTTGGGTCGTTCTGAATCCGATATCTAAAATTAGCATTATGGATGTCGTTGTTCACGTTTTTTTACAGGTATTCTATATTTGACTAGTTGGTGTGAATTTTGTGGCTCGACATGAAGGGAAGACTCAAGTGTCGAATTAAGTTTGTTACTTTTTAAGGCTAGTGGACCTCTTGACCCATTCGTCTTGTATGCCTTGTGTGATTGGAAGTAATGAGAATTAGTGAAGGATTTCGTATATTTTGTGAATTTTTAAATGATGAATAAGTACTAGTGATGAAAATGTGGGTAAAAGAAGAATCTTGAAGGTATTGTGATATATGATGTGCCATGTATGGTTGAGTGGTTTTGTTGGTTCACTCTTATGTTGTGCCAAAATTATATGAATTGAGTTGTTCCACTATAAGAAAACTGTGAATTATATGGAGATTTTTCTAGGAATTAATATGAAAATTTGTTGAAAATTCATACTAATTTCTAGAAAAAATTCCATATAAATCAAACAGTTTTCTTATAGTGGTTGTTGCGAAGGTTACTATTCTCTCATTAAACATTTGCATACATATATTTGTATTGGTGTTATTATTGAGGAATATGCTAAGAGTATTGATAAGAGTTGAATAACTAGTTAGTTAGAGTTCAATTAGTTAGTTAACTAGTTGTTAGTTATTAGTTTAGTTTGTTAGCCAGCTGTCATTTTACTATTGGTTCAATTCCATTATTAGTTAATTAGCTAATTGTATATATGTGAGTATTGTACATTGTAATAGTTACTTAGCACATTGTAAAAGCATGAGGGAGAAGTTCTCTCTGTAACATTCTTCTTCTTCTTCTTCTTTAATCTTCCATTGTCGATTGCTCAGTATCAACAATTTAATATGGTATTAGAGCAGGTGTACAATCTCTGAGGAATTCTGGCTCATTTGGATCTCTGAATCTGTAGATCGGAAGAGGTAAAATGACAAGTAAAATCGATCACATACACCCCCTGTATCTGTCTTCTTCTGATGTCACAGGTGCAGTTCAAATTGGCATTCAACTTGTAGGGATGGAGAATTATAATTTGTGGAGCAGGGCAATGAAATTGACACTGCTAACAAAGAATAAATTGGGATTTATTGATGGCAGCATCAAACGTGAAGATTACACAGTCGTTCTGAGAAGAAGCAGTGGGATCGATGTAATGCAATGGTGCTTTCATGGCTTATGAACAATGTGAGCAAGGAATTGATGAGTGGAATTCTATTTCGTTCTAATGCATCACTGGTATGGAGTGATCTGAAGGAATGATTTGACAAGGTTAATATGTCTAGAATATTTCACTTACACAAGTCGATTGTTACACATACTCAAGGTACTTCTCCAGTTTCAGTATACTATTCAAAGTTGAAAGATTTGTGGGATGAATTTGATTCAATTGTCCCTCCTCCATCTTGTAATTGTGAAAAATCTAAAGAATATGTTGATAGCATGCTTAGATAGAAGCTTCTGCAATTTTTGATGGGACTGAATGACAATTATAGTCATGCTCGAAGTCAAATTCTTATGATGAATACATCTCCAACTGTTAATCAATGTTATGCTATGATAATTCAAGATGAAAGTCAAAGAGAGTTAAGTGGAGATCAATACAATTTAGGAGGGCAAATGGATCCTACAACTTTGTTCACTAGTGGATCTGGAGGAAACAATTTTAATAGTCAGAGTAATCGAAGTGGTAATGTGAAACTTAATAAGCAGAGAAGTGGATACTTATATTGTGATCACTGTGATATGAGAGGCCACAATAGAGCTGAATGTAACAAGCTGAAGTATTGCATTCACTGTCACAAACATGGACATCTGAAGGACTCTTGTTATCAGTTAATAGGCTATCCTACCAATTATAAAGGGAAGCGACAAACAAATATTATGACAACAGACTACAACTCTCAATTTAACAATCCAGGTAGCTCAACTGATAGTAATGTTGTAGATCAGATGCAGAAGTTTAAGGGAGGTGGTTCACAACAGATGTTACAACAACATGGAATTAATTCAGGTTCAGGTGGTTCAGGAGCTGTTCTAGCTCAACATTTTACACCTAATCAATATCAACAAGTTCTACAGATGATGAACAAGTCATTGATTCATAAAGGAAATACAGTATCTACCAATAGTAATGCCAATGCAACAGGTATATTTGCAGGACATTCTCAGTTTACTCCTTCAACTTCTAGTTTTGATTGGATTGTTGATAGTGGGGCAACTGATCATATGGTGAGAACTAAAGATCTACTAACTCATGGATCAACAGTAAAGAGTTCAGGACATGTTCAACTTCCAAATGGTGATTCAACTAAAGTCACACATTCAGGCTGCTCTCAACTACAAGGAGGTGAAGTAGTTAAGAATGTCTTATATGTGCCAGAACTTAACTTCAATCTTCTTTCAGTGGCTAAACTTACTAGGAAATTGAATTGTTGTGCAATTTTCTATCCTGATTTCTTTTTTCTTCAGTATCTCTTCACTGGGAAAGTGAAGGAGATTGGTGAAGAAAATGGTGGCCTATACATTTTAAAGTCACCACAATTGATAAACACTGGACAACATAAGAGTTTGGTTGCAGTGAAGAATTCTGCTGAAGGTGAAGTTTGGCATAAAAGGCTAGGTCATATCCCTATGAGTGTTATCAGGAAGATAGACATGTTTGCTCATAAGAGGGATTTTCAGTTGACATGTTGCTATATCTGTCCATTAGCTAGACAAGTCAGACTACCATTTCATAATAGCAGTACTAGAAGTCCACAATGTTTTGATTTAGTTCATATGGATGTATGGGACCTTACAAGATTACAACTCATAATAAAATTAAGTTCTTTCTTACTTTGGTTGATGATTACTCTAGATGGACATGGATATATATCATGCATCTTAAGTCTGATGTCTCTACCATATTGAAACAGTTTCTTGCTATGGTTAAGACTCAATTCAATGTTCAAGTTAAAATGTTTAGATCAGATAATGGTGGAGAGTTTTTTAATGCTCAGGTGAGTGAGTTGTTTAACTCTCAAGGTATTATACAATAGAGTTCTTGTCCATATACACCTCAACAAAATGGTGTAGTGGAAAG